CCGCAACAAGCTGCAACGAGACCCAGGAGTCCACGCCAGGTACTTTCACGTGAAATGGAGAAATCCCACCAACTAGGCTAAACACCTAATCCTTATCTATTTACTTTATTCAATAGACATTCCCTGCTCTAAAACAAAAACCTCATGGAAGCAGAGATTTTTGTTTTCTTACGTACAATATCCCTGATTCAAAAAACCGTACATACCACTTATCCAGAACTGATAAAAAAAAAAAAGCTCTTAAATATATTATCTGAACTAGCTCTTACTTGGAAAATTTTTATACTTTAACAGTCACGAAAAGAATATAATTTGATCTTTTGCTTAGATCGTGGTGTTTATAGCATATTACCTTCAGACAAAACTAAGTTTAATACTAACATCACCAAAGGACTCACGTGTAAAATACGGGGGGAAAAAAATCAGCAACAGTATACAATTTCTCTTGTATTTGTGTGCAGAACTCTGATTATTAGCAATACTAAGCAAAGTAGGGACAAATAAAATTATTACGCTTTCACTTTAAGAACTTATATAAAGGATATGAATGAATCATTTAGAGTATTTCATCCCACATATTTCAACATCTAATGAGAATATTTTCACTGTCACTCCAATTTCTGCACAGCTTTAAGCCAATGCAAATTGGATTAATAACTGAGACTGTCATGACTCTTAACGACCTTGTAAAGTTCTCATCACATTAAGCTCCCTGCAGTGAAAAGCAATCATGTCATCAGTAAGCTGTAATACATCATGTACAAATGAGTAGAACCAAAAGATGAGGAAAACCTCTTACTTTCAGGTCATTTTAACAAAACTGATAACTAGCAGTCACATATTTTAAATCTACTTTCACCTTTGAAAACTACTATATCCGAAATGGATTTCTTCCAAATGAATTTGGATTTTAGAATATATTTAAATAACCTCTATAATATAATCCATACATGACTATGATGTTTAAATATCTGAACTACATGGAGATTATTAAATAAGAAGGACATAAGTAAGGCCTCCATCTGTGATGCCAACATCCCATCTGCATGCAAGCTCATGTCCCAGCTACTCCACTTAAAAAACAAACTAAAAAAATGCATATATTTCACTTGAAAATTAGAGATACAGAGAAAGCCAGGAGGTTCTTCTGGCTATCCCACATGTCTACGGGGACCTACAGCCAGCCTCCACTGCTTTCCCTCACTATTAGCAGGGAGTGGGATCTGAAGTGGAACAGCCTCCAGGACTAGAATCAGCCCATAAAGGAGACTGGAGCTGCAGGCAGAGGATTAAACAGTGTGCTACTCTGCCATCTCCTACCACTGCTCCACTTCCAATCTAGCTCCTGCTAATGGCCTGACAGAAGAAACAAAAGATGGTCCAAGTATCTGGGCCCCTGCCACTCCTGTGGGAGATGCACCGGAAGCTGCTGCTGGAACATTCAGCCTGGCCCAGTTCTGGCCATTAAGCCGTGCGGGGAGTGAACTAGTGGAGTTAAAGCACACTCTCCCTCTCTCTCTCTTTCAGATACATATTTTAAAAAGAAAGGGCAATTGGCATAATCGGTGAATTCAAATTGAGGAAATCAACTAAAAGAGCTGTTAAGAAGTCGTGTTCTTTTCTTTAAATTTGGATTTATTTAAACATAAATTTAACCATCTGTCTCAAGGCTGGACTCATTTCAAACTGGTTTTCATAATTAAAATACTCTAAAAAGACAACTCCGAGAATCTAGTCAATTTTAATCGGCTGTAAAATATCACATTACTGTTCATAATGCATGAAGAGGCAATTTAAGAAAATCTACTTCTCATTTACAGAAAAATTTACTTTTGAATGAGACTTAAAGCTACTCCCCACAGTTGTAGCAGTAGGCACCTTCTTCCTTCGCCTGCATAGGGTAAGTGACAGATTGTCAATGATCGATCCCTCTTTTTAATTTCTACTACAGAAAGCACCATTAGTGAGGACATGAGCTTCCCGCTTCAGTTGGAGAAGAGGGGCAGGAGAGCTGCTTACAGGCTTCTCCAGCCAGATTGTTACAGGAACATTTAATTTTGTGTCTTTTCCCCTGGGTACTAAGGATGTTAACACAGAAGTAGTGAAACAGGAAGTTCAACTACTGGTAGGTATTTTTCAGACTTGGTAAACGAAAACCACAGTTTTACAACACAAGCTCAGGTAGGTAGGCTGCGCCAGAATATATGACTAGGAGGAAATTATTTTGAACATCTTTTCTGATATTTCAATATATCTTCAAGTAAACTGTAAAACCTCATTAAAAAACACATTTAAATTCACTTAATTCAATACCATATGGTTCAGTCAGGTACTGCTTATACTTTTTAATAGCATGCATAATTTATTCTTTAAATGTATTTCACTTTGGAAAAACATGCTGCATGGTATCTATACCAAGGACCGTTTGCAGGCATGTAATGTAATGAAGACAATGACTATTTTGTGCAACATGAGCAAGTGGGTAAAAAGTTGACTTCAAATATCTGGAAATTAATAATCGCATAAAACTCCCAGAAGAAATAAAGACAGAGGATTAAGTCTACTAACACTCTTTTCATTATTATTAATAAAGTGTGGTTTCATTAATGTTCTTTATATAGAGAGGGGAAAAAAAACTAACAAAGTCTGGACATGAGTCACATAGACTTAGTTTCAACTTTCTCTAAACTCTACATCACATACTTAGAAGCTAGTGTATCTCTAACAACCCTTGGGTAGGGGAGGAGGTTACGGAGAAAAAAAAGTTCCTTGAATGAAAGAAATTTCCAGGGATACTATAACTAACTTCTCAAGCCTGACAAATAACAAAATATTAAAATCAGTATTAGTTTCATACAATCTACTCTTAAAAACCCAGAAAACAACTGTAATAAGCAAATATACACAGGTACAAGCGTGAACAATGTGTTGCAGTGGGTTAAACTGCCACATGCCACAACAGCACTCTACAGGAGCACCGACTGGAGTCCTGGATGCTCCACTTCCAATCCAGATCCCTGCGAAAGGCCTGGGAAAGGCAGCAGACCCAACTCCCAAGTGCTCGCTCCCTTGTCACCCACATGAGAAGCCCAGATGAAGCTGTTCATCCCTGGGCATTGCAGCCAAGTAAGCCAACTAAAGCAGCAGGTGGAAGGTTCCTCTCTCTAAATGGCAATAAGGAAAAACAAAGTCAGAAGAAACTGGAAAACTCTAAAACTGAACTGAACTCTTGAAACAAAAAATATCAATGAATGAATGAAAAGTGGAGGTACCATTCTATATTAAAAGAGTTCAGGAACGGGCAGTTAAAATGGCAATTAAATGCAGAATCTTTTTTATAACATGCATTTTCCATATATTATGGGAAAAAAACAAACTTATACTTTTAATTCCACTTTCCCACGGAATTTTAGAAAAAGTCATATTTTTGCTTTAGAAGTCTAAAAAAAGTGTGAACTTTGCACTTGTATAGGAAAATTTTCTAATAATTTCTTGCGAGACAACATCGCAGTGACTTTTCCACACGTCATAGCCAAGCTCTAAGCCACAAGGTCTCCCTCTAGAGTAGGGCTCAGATCGCTTGCTTGGATGCTCTACTTCCTCTTAGAGTTAATGACTGCTTCTTACACCTGTTACTACTTTTTAAAAATATCTATATTCTTTGGAAAGGCAGGATTACAGAGAGAAGGAGAGACAGAGGGAAAGATCTTCTCTCCACTGGTTCACTTCACAAATAACCATAACGGACAGAGCTAAGCCAACCCAAAGATGGGATACAGGAGCTTCTCCTGGGTCTTCCACACAGATGCAAAGTCCCAAGGCCTGAGTCATCCTCCACTGCTTTCTTAGACCACAAGCAGACAGCTGGATGGGAAACAGGGCTGCAGGGACATGAACTGGCACCAATTTGATGCCCGTGCTTACAGACAGAGGATTAGCCACTTGAGCCATTTTGCCAGCCCCAATGTGCTATTTCTTAATTATCTACTTATTACAAATCAATTTCTCACTACTCCAGTTCTTTACTATGTAGTTAGCAACTCTACATACTATATTTCTTCTGCTCCAATCTTAAAAAACAAAACACTAATTAAGAGGCTATCTCCTATACCCGAGTGCCTCTTGTCTGCTACCTGCTTCCAGCTCCTCACTCTTGCTTCCTGCCAGTGTAGACCTGAGAGAGAGCAGGTAAGGCTGAACTAGTTGGGTCCATGACAACCACAGAGGAGACCTGAATTGAGTTCCCTGTGCCTGGATCCAACTTCAGTTGTCATAGGCATTTCAGGAGTGAACTAGCAGATAGCTCATTCTGTCTCACCAGTAAACCAGAAAAAAAAGAAAATGAAATATCTAAAGATGCACAACACAGCTTTATGGCACAGCACGTAAAACTGCCACAATGTTGGCTTTTTCGCTTAGAAGTTTTGTCTAAACACTACGCTAATCTCTACTGAAAGTGAATGTTAAAACATTTAAACACAAAATAAATGAAATACTTTATACGAGCTATAACCATAAATCTCTATGTAAAATATAAAGAATCTGACTTTATTTCCATTTGCTTCTAAGATTTCTCAAGAAACATGCAGGACAACAAATACAGAGAAAATTAAGGTAAAGACAAAACGACATCATAAAGTAATCTTATCTTTCTAATGGTTCTTAATACCACACGTAAGAAGATTTAAAAGCCCTCTAAATAAATAATTTTCTTATTTTTCTTATTTAGTGCTCTCTAGTAAATCATGCTATAGAAAATATCTTCGGCATTTCCTTATATTCTATTACAAATGTTGCATAAATTCACTTGATATACCCTACTCAAAAATATCCCCAACATTCATACACACAAAAAAAATAACTGAGTACACAGTTTGACAATTAGTCTATTTAGTTCATTTTATGTTAATTGTTCTAAATGGAATCATTCCACTACTTATAAAAACTTTCAAATTGTAAGAATAAAAATCTCAAGTAAACATTTTTCATTTTTGCCATACCTTTAGCTAAAGCTTCTTTATATTTTTCTTTGGCAGAGTTCATTTCTTTAATTAATTGTCTATAGCTGGATTTTAATTTCTCCAATTCTGTTTTTGTAACCTATAGAAGAAACACGATGAACAAAACTTCTGAAATGTTTAAATTGGTCAAGGGCTTAAATTTGAAAGAACTGATTTGTATTTTACTATTTATAGATTATTGTTGCTCTTTAACATTAAATAACAAACAATAGATTCAAAAATCACCTTAAAATCAGTGACAAATTTAACAAAATATGAAAACATAAGCTTCTAGTAAAGGGCAAATAAAATATAATGCTAGCATCTAAAATTAAAAGATAAATTAATTTGCAATGTACGTAAACCTTTTCTATACTTAGAAAAAAATGTGAATGGGAGAATACAGTGACGAAGTGGGTGCTGGGGAGACAGGAGTTCATCTCTATTGCATCATCCACTTAACAATTTTCCACAATAAAAATACTTTCAAAGAGTTATCCACAGACTTTGAATATAAAGATAAGTTAGGAAGACCTTAACTAAGTTGCTTTATATATATATAGTCTTTCAATTATTTTATACTATGACATGTTACATATTTGAAATGGTAAAGAGATATTTCACTAAAGATGAAAGTTCTGCACAATCACAGTATGATTTCACTGCTTAAGTGGCAACATCTTTCTTTTTTTCTTTTTAAGATTTATTTTTATCACACAGTCAGTTATACAGAGAGGAAGAAAGACAGAGAGGAATATCTTTCATCTGATGATTCACTCCCCAAGTGGCTGCAACAGCTGGTGCTGCACCAATCCAAAGCCAGGAGCCAGGAACTTCTTCCAGGTCTCCCACACGGGTACAGGGTCCCAAGGCTTTGGGCCGTCCTCAACTGCTTTCCCAGGCCACAAGCAGAGAGCTGGATGGGAAATGGAGCTGCCATGATTAGAACCGGTGCCCATGTGGCATTCTGATGCATTCAAGGTGAGGACTTTAGCTGCTAGGTCACCTCACCGGGCCTAACATCTTCTTTTGTAGAGTTATACAAATTTACAATGTATCACAGAATGAACAACTTCATATCTAATAAAATACAATAGCACAACTTATTTTTTGTAGAAAATGAAGAAGAAATATTGTAGCAAATTTAATAACCAGTCAACTTCCATACAGAGAGACACACCTTGATCATGTCTGCCTCCATCTGCTGATGAACGCCCAGGTAACTCTTCTTCACCTGCTGCTTGTCCTTGATCATCATGGTGAGTCTGTGTAAGGGCCCCGAGTTCAGATCCTCCGCGTGTGTCTTCATTATTCTGCTAAGCTGTTCTGTGTGATGAATCATAAGTAGCCAAGACTTCAAAAAAATACAGAAAATTAATGTTTGTAGTAGATATCAGCTGTACATTAAGTTTCCAAAAAACTTACAGAACTGGTCAACCCAACCTTGATGATGGGACCAGAAATATGCAAAAGAAAATGGATGATCTCTTCTAAAAGTAACAGGAGAGACTGGATATCCACATGCAACAGATATAAACTGGACCCATAAACAAATTGAAATGAACATCTTCACAGTCTCTTCACAATCTGTTTCTCTACTTAATGACCTCTTTTGTACCCCACACATAAACACTCTATAACTCATGTTCAGAAAATATTCCTTTGCTAGTTCCATTCTAGTGGATCCTGATTAATGCCGTAGTGGCCCTATGGGGATACTTGAAGAAAATGATGAATTACAATTGGGATTCCAGGAGATGTTTATGACATTCTCTCTACTTCCTAAAAGACACTCCTGCTGTCCACTCTGCTACATCCTGTTCCATCTGCATGTGCCAGAGAAGTTCCTCTCTTATAATCTATTTCTTGCTTCTTCACATTTCCCTTGATTGATGGAGGGGGGTGGAAGGAGGGAAGGAGTAAGAAGAAGGGAGGGAAGAAGGGAGGGAGGGAAAGAAGGAGGGAGGGAGGGAAGGAGGGAGGGAAGGAGGGGGAGAAAGCCTTCCATCTCCCCCTACCCAACCTAACCAATCCTTCCATCTACCATCCTGTGTCATTTTGTAAATCCCTCAAAAAGACTTTTTGGGAAATAAATATGACATCTGCTTTCAAGAAACAGAAGTAAGGCTAGACACTTAGAGCTCCCCACAACTTTGAACTTTTAGCAAGTAAATGCTATTTTTTTTTCTTTCAGCAGAACCAAGAGTTAGTTCCATCTATCACCCTGCATTTAAAAGAAGAAAAAACATGATTAAGGTGGAAGAGGGAATGCAAGCATTTTGACACAGCAAGTTAAGCCACGGCTTCTGACACCTGCATGCCTTCTCAAAGTTCCTGCAACTCGGGGCCTTATTCCCTTCTGATGCAGCTTCCTGCTAATGCATCCGGAAGGCAGGAGGTAATGATTCACATTACATGGGAGATCTGGATGAGTTCTCGGCTCCTGCTTCTTAGCTCCTGGATCCAGGCTTTGGCCTAACCCAGCTCCAGGTGTTATAGGCATTAGGGAAGTGAACCAGAGAATAGAAGATTGATATTCTCTCTCTCTCTCTCTCTCTCTCTCTCTCTCTCTCTCTCTCTCTCTCTCTCTCACACACACACACACACACACACACACACTCTCTCTCTCTCTCTCTCTCACACACAGAGAATACATTTTTTATCTCGTCTTTTCTCTCTCGCTCTCTCTCACTTTCCCTCGAAAGTTCCTTCCATCTCTCTCATTTTCTTTCTTAATAAGAAGGTAAACCTAAACTCTGCACTCAGTTTAAGAAAAATGGAAAACTACAGACAGGGACAGAGTGAATATCCCTTGGAAAAGCTGTTAGGTTTTAAATAAAGTTCAGTTCTTACGGTTGTTTCGCACAGCTAATTTCCCGCAGCCAAGTCCTCTTTCCAGGATTAGTTTACCATGAGCCAAAATACCAGACACGATGAAGTATTAGCTGGTCCTTTATTGCAACAGGGTAGGAATGGGTGTGGGGGTAGGGGGGAAGAAACCTAGAAGGGACATGTCTCTCCTGCTATGGTGGCAGGATGGGGGCTACCAGGGCAGGGGAAGAGAGCAAGATGGAGGAAGGGACAGAGCCAGGTAAAGAGGGAAGGGGAAGAGAAAAAGAGGAATGGGGCACAGGTGGAGGCTCATTTATACAACCAGGTGGGCCTGGAAGGTGTGTGGGCTTGGGGAATTGGTTGGGAGACGGGGCTGTGGGCGGGTCTCAATCAACTGGTGACTGAGATTATCTGAGCCACAGGTAGGTGGGTGGAGCCTGCCCACCCCTACCCCGCAAGAGACTGGGGGAGTGGGATTCTCAGGTAAGAGGCCATGAGGTTACATCTCACTGGTGGATAACCAGAAAGATGCAAATTTCACGATCCATGGGAAAGGGGGAGCAGGAAGTGGCTCTGGGTCCAAGATGGGATACTCCAATCACTCCTCACAAAAGCAGAGCCCTTTCTTTTCTTGCTTTATACCTCTGAGCTAACAGATGCACGTAAGCTGAGCCAATATTCCAATACACAGGGAGTAATTTAAGTATTCTGAATTCTTTGTACCAGAAAGCATTTATTTCTGGGACACTGAGTCAAACAACAGACTACTAGTGGGGCTATAATTACAGTAAAACATTGAAAATAATCAACAAAATGACTCAAGCTTGAAAGATACCAAAATAATAGCTGTCAAAAATAGCTTTTCCCGCAGACTGTATCCTCCAACGACTTTCTTTCCTAATTCTTGCTTGATTTTTTTTTTCTAAATGCAGCATGAAAATTTTATGAAAAATGCATAGTTGTTGCACAACACAGTAACGCAAACTAAACGGCTCTCCAAAACAGCAGTTTTTATTCTGAGTTTGCCTTTTACATTAAGAACATTGGAATTTCAGAATCCTGGTGGAATACCGAAACTCTGAAAAGAACTCAGTAAATTTCTAAAACAAGGTCTCCAAAACTCAGCTCGAGTGCAAAAGAAAATCTTAGCTATCTCCTATTCATACGAGTCTCCATTTCTGCACTTCTCTTCAGAGCTTGCTGGTATCCCTGCTCAGGGGTTCACGATTCTGGCTGCAATATCAGCAGGAAGTACTTCCAGAAGATGAGATGAATCTGCATCCTCCAACAACCCCTAAGAATCGTGATGAGAAATCTGAGCAGGGAGCAAAATGGGAAAGACAGATCACAAGTTCAGTATCACAAACAGGAAGCTATGGCTCCCCCACCGTAGGTAATACCTTCTGTCTACTTGTCAGTCAAATGATCTCGTCCTCGGGATGTGCTCACCCTCTCCCGGGACCTGGGGGTGGGAACCCCGTAGCCACCACCTTTCCAGGCTCACAAGAAATCAGACAACGGGATTAGGCATTCTCCCTCCCCCTGTGGAAACAAGATGAAAGCATCTCTCTCCATCTTTTTCCTCCCAGCCCACTCACTCCCTAAATATGCGTATGTGATTTTCTCACCTTTTAAATAAACTTGACTAAAAAAAAATTACAATCTCAAAGAAAATGAACCCAAGAAATTGGGACTAAAGTTTCTGATTGTATTGGTTTTGCGCAAGGGGTAGACATCAATATTTTCTCCACGCAATATTTCTCAATATTTTCTCTCCACACAGTTCCGATATACAAGTTGATGTACCCAAGTATTTATGGCTCAAATAATCACTAGGTATGCAAAGTCCAACAAATTAAGAACCACACAGCTTAGAGGGATGAGAGCCATGACAAAAAATTAATTAAGAAGCATACTTAAGGGTCACACACAGTAGCCTAGTGGCTAACATCCTCACCTTGCCTGCACCGGGATCCCATATGGGTGCCGGTTCATGTCCCAGTTGCTTCACTTCCCTTCCAGCTCCCAATGCTTTGGGCCTGGGAAAGCAGTGGAGGACAGCCCAAAGCCTTATCACCCTGCACCCACGTGGGAGACCTAGAAGAAGCTACTGGCCCCTGGTCTCAGATCAGCTCAGCTCTGGCCACTGCAGATGCTTGTGGGGTGAACCAGCATATGGAAGATCTTTCTATCCTTCCTTCTCTGTAAATCTGCCTTTCCAATATAAATAAATAAATAAATAAATAAATAAATAAATAATCATACTTCAAAAGCCAGAAACTTAACCAAAAAAAAAAGTTGCAGTTTTATAGATATCAAATGGTTGAGAAATAGGAAACCTCTACAAAAAAACACAACGCTCTTCCTTAAGTCAACCGAAGTTTCTTTGTCAGAGTAAGTTTCAGAAGGTTTAAAACTTATGGTTTACTGTAAAGTAGCAGAGTTACCTAAAATTGAACAAATTGCAGTTCCATGTGTGGAAGGATATGGAGCAAAATGAGTGGTTAAACAAAGGCTGCCGAGCGCGGAGGCAGGAGTCTGTTACCTACACACACACACACCTTGGGCCAACAGGCCACAGCTCTGTGTACTCACCTACTACTCCCTCCGGGTTCACAAATGAACAAAATTAATGTTTTGTTCAAGCTGCTTCTTAATATGTCCGTTGTACTGCAGCGATTCTTATATTAAAATTGAATATCATACTAGAGCTAACTGCAACCAAACTTGATCATGATTATTTCAAAAATACACAAATCAAAATTCTAGCTATAGAGGTGGAAATTACATTCCATGTGCTAATAAGTGAGTACAAATAATAAAGCTGGTTCACTCAAAACAAAACAAAAAAAAATTCATTACTTTTTATTTCCACGTACAAATGAAGCACCGCCAAAATTTCAATTCCTTTTGTGTTTAGTAGATAAGCCAGTATCTCTCTCCAAATAAGGTGGCGATCTCAGGATTAGCTATTTCGCCTAACTACTTCGGAACATGGTTGACTGTACTGGGGCATGAGTAATTTTAGATGAATAAGAAAACAAAGTGAGACACTTGCTCTGCACGGAATAAAACAAGTGCTCTAAATAAAACCACTATTAAACACGAAAAGCTCTTCCAATTTCAATCACGTTTAGAGTACATGAAATAAAACCATAGCAGATGCAACTTCTTGCCCAACAAGCAAAGGAGAATTCAGAGGTTTAACAACGCACCCTGCTGTCCAGAGTAAGTTGAATCAGACATCACTACACGTTTCTAGTGGATATGCAAAGTGGTACAAGAGCCACTGAAGAAATATTTATATTGGCAAAATACATCAAAACTATGTGCACACTGACACTTTGATCTGACAAATATCATTTCCAGTAACTTCGCCTGAAAGCTTTCATAACAATAAACAATGGTACTCATTGCAGCATTACTTACAATTGCAAAATACTGTGAAACTTTAAATTCCTATACAAATTCATTGAATACTCAATATAATCCCAGGATAAAGGCTTATTACAGAATTATTAAAAGTAACATTTATGGCATTATTTTGCCTAAAAGTAAAGAAGAGCAGACATTGTGGTATATCAGGCTAAGTTGCTGCTTGGGATAAACACGTCTCATTTGGAATACCTTAGATGGAATTCAGATTCCTCCAGTTCCAACCCAGCTAGCCAGCTTTGCACCACTGCATCTGAGGAACAGTATATAACTAATTAAATATTCGGTTTCCTGACACTCACATGCGACACCTAGTTGGAGTTCGAGACCCAGATGGAGATCTGGGCTCCTGGCTTCAGTCTTGGCTAACCCAGGCTGTTACAGGCATTTGGGGGTTGAACCAATGGATGACAGATTTCTCTCTCCCTGTCTCTGCATTGTGTGTGTGTGTCCGTCTGCTTACATCTGCCTTTCAAATAAACAAACAAATAAATAAACAAACTTTAAAACAAATAATAAAGTGTAAAAAATGATTGAGAAATAAGAATCCGGAGAATTTAAAGCAAAGACAACTCCTAGGTATCTATCTCCAAATACTTCTTCCAAAGTACTACCAAGAACCTTGCCTACAGGATTAAGTATCAAACACATACACTTCAAATAATCTTAAGTAATAAAGAAAAATTCAGGCAGACATCACAGTACACTTACACTGGGTTAAGCAAGCACTTGAGATGCTGTACATCATATCACAGTGCCAGGACTGGCTTTATCTTAGCTGCTGACCCAGCCTCCTGCTACCTGCACACTGGTAGGCAACGTACAATGGTTCAAGACCTTGATCCCTGCTACCTAAATGGGAAGCCTAAAGGGGTGACTGACTCCTGGCTATGGCTGCACAGCCCTACCTATTCGAGCATTTGGGGAGTGGACCAGTGGATACAGGATGGATGGATTTCTCTCTCTCTCTCTCTCTCTCTCTCTCTCTCTCTCTCCATTCCTGATTCTTCCCCTCATCTCCTCCCTGAATCCCTCCTCCCTCCCCCTCACTGTGAGTGTGTGTGTGTGTTGCTCTGCCTTTCAAACAAAGTAACTTAACAAAAATTACCAAAGCATAGAATGTTATTTTTCATGTCCATGTTCTAAGAACACTGAAGTGAAACAACTAAATGAAATAAGTGAGTCTGGATCATTTTCAGATTGAGGAAAAAAAAAAAAAAACACTGCCAAAGACAGATATTTTAGGGGAAGAGAGATGGTGGAATAGGCTGAGGACAGGCTTAAACAGACAGAGAATTATTAACTACGCTGAAGCAGAGAGAGCATGATTCTGGGAAACAGGAGAAGACAGGCCCCATAGCAGGGGAACAGCTGGAGACCCATGGAACCAGGGAAGCAGCAGCACAGCAGAGCAGTGCTGCAGTGCCCAGATACATCAGCAGAAGTGGAGCAGCCAGGGCACAAACTGATGCCCAAATAGGATGCCAATGCTGCAAGGCAGAGGATGAGCCAGCTGTGCTACTGCACCAGCCCCCTCCTTCCTTATTATTTAGCCAAGCACTGGTTTGACTAAGGGTGAAAGAAAATAATTTCACACTCAGAAAAAAAATATCACCCAAGAGCATTGGAAAGAGCACATCGCAGAGCTCACAGGGCCAGAAGCCATGATAGCTACATTCCTGGGCACATCCCTTTGAGTCCTCATAATGATCTTCTTAGAGGAGAGACACTCACCTGGGACTCCATAACAAAAAATCTCCTGTCCAACCTAACAAGTGTGAGAACAACAACAAAAAGGATAAAACTTTCACTAGGAGACTTACCCACACCTGGGAACAAGTTCTCAGAAATTAGTCAGTGCCTTTTACATCGGTAAAGGCGTAAAGCCTACAGCCAAATCAAGGACTACTGGGAAAAAAAAATGTAGAACAATGTAATCCAAATTTTTTTAAAGTGCAACCCAAAATGAGAAGAAAACTTAATCAAACCTTACTCAGAAGGTAATACAAATGACAGAAACAGGGAAAGGACTAGCATTGTGATAGAATGGGTAAAGCCAGTGCATGCGACTCTGGCAGCGCATATGGGCTCCAGTTCTAGTCCCAGCTGCTCAATTTATAATCCAGCTCTCTGCTAATGGTCTAAGAATAGCATCAGAGGATGGCCTGGGCACTCAGGACCCTGCCATGCACATGGAAGAACCCAGATGCAGCTTCACATGGCCTCGTGCTGTAGCCATGTGTAGAGTGAAGAGCTCTCCCTCTGCCTGGCCCTCTCCAGAATTCTGACTTTCAAAATAAATGAATCTTTCAAAGAAGAAGAAGAAGAAAACAGGGAAAATAGAAAAAACACTAGACTATGTGCTTCATACACCTAGGAAACTAGAGGAAACAATAAATGCATCAGGGAAACATGCAACAAATGAAAAAGATTGAAACTGAACAACTAAAGATAACTGATCGTTCTTTCATTTTTAACAAAGGTCCCAATCACTTGGTTTCTACATATAATCACAAATTCCTCCACCTCGAAGTACAGAAGTAGGGCGAAAGGAAGTACTGAGTTCTAGCAGATTAAAAAAAGAAAAGGATGCTATGCAGCCATATTTTAAATCTAAACATTGGCAAGACAGAAAGTGAGACTACTAAAGAGGAATGAGAGAGGAAGGGACATGGGAAGGGGAGGAGTCAGGAGAAAGGCGTCAGAGTCAACCACATCAACAGGTAGGTTCACCAGAAGGAGTCAAAAATAAACAATACACTGACTGAAATGAACCACAAACTAGACATTTCATAAAAATCAAAACTAACGGTACTAACGATGTCGTGCAGCATGAGTAACCTAAACCTAAGATACCTTCATCCCAGGTGGGCACTCATGCAGTCCCAGGGGCTCCACTTCACACCCAGCTCTTTGCTAATGACCTAGCAAAAGCAGAAAATGGCCCAAGTGCTGGGGCCTCTGAACACATGAAGAAGACCCAGGTGAAACTTCCGCTTCTGGCTTTAACCTGGTGGCTGCAGCCACTTGGGGAGTAAACAAATGGAACCTTTTTCTCTCCTCTCTCCCTCTTGTAACTCTACCTTTCAAACAAATATATCTTTGAAAAAAATGATTAGTATAGTAAAAAGCCACAGAAATTACAGCAATACTGATAGAAGACGGGAAATTAAACTGAATATCAGTAAACTGAGACATGAATTTATGTATATACACACACATTCTAATGTGCACTCTATGTGTTTGTGCAATAAGACAATATATATGTGTGTGTGTTCTCACCTAACAAATAAATGAGTTCACAGAAGACATAACATTGATGCGCCTAATGAAAGAAATTCAAAATATAAGGAAAACTAGTTCAACTGCAAGTAGAAACAACCTTCAGTGAAAAGCAAGGATTTGTGGAATGGTGAGGTTAAGCCACTACTTGGAACATCCACATTAGTGCCCGCCACTCTGCCTCTGACACCTCCCTGTTAACATGCCCTGAAGCAGCAAAATAATCATTCAAGGACTGGGGTCCCCTCCACACCTGTGAGAGACCCAGATGGAGTACCGGCTCTCTGGGCTGTGAGCTGGTAAGAGCCTTGGTTGTGGCAACCATCTGGAAAGTGACTATGTGAGTGAAAGAGAGAGGGGATGGCGGAGAGAGAGAGAGACAGACAGAGACAGAGAGAGAGAGTCTGCCTTTAAAAAACAAATAATTACAAGGTCAGCACTGTGGCACATCACACTAAGCCTCTGCCTGCAGTGTGGGCATCCCAAAATGGACACATTTTAATTCCATTTTCTATTACTTCTGAGGTTCCTTCCTACTATATTTCCATGTTTACTGATTAGAAGACCCAATACTGTTAAAATACACAATTTACCCAAAATTACCCAAATAATCAATACAATCAAAATTCCATATCTCAATATCACATGCAAATTTAGTCAGTGTTCTATATTCTTACAGGCTACAGATTATGGCAGCCCTACGTTCTGACTAGAGACTAAAGAATTCCTCTTTGAAGAATCTGATTGGCCCGGGATAAGAAATTAAAGATATGAATCTTAAGGGACTCTCCACAAACTCACAGATCATAACCTGGTCAATAGCACTATACACATTCTTCAGAATAAATACAGCTTTCCTCTACATCTAATGAAAGCTTGAGACCCACAAGTAAAGAAATATTTCTTTTAACTTTCCAAAGTAAAAAGCTAATATTTATGTTTAATTTTGAATGAATACACAAAAATATTATAATGAATATATTGTAAATATTATAATGAGAAAACAATCCAAGGATATCTCGTGTTCAACACTTCATTTTTAATGTTTTCAAAAAATCATTAACTATTTATTTCCCTTATTTTCACATAATAGAACAGAGTTTTTAAAAATCCATTTAATTTGTTTTCAAATGGACTAATTCATTGATATATCAGTATTCTAACAGCAAAAGGAGAGCAAGTAGGAGTTTTGTATTAAAATATTTCAAGCAATTCATTGACAATTTCAGAAAGGTGGATTTTAATTAAAATTGGTACCAAAGGAAATAACCAGCGGAATTCAAGTGACCAAAAGCAGGAAACAAATGTTAAACATCCATCCTTTCTTGCTAAGGTTGTCAAGCCAGATCAGTGATTAGAATAAACTAGTCCCTCCCCACATCTATTAAACCACAACGTCAGGATGTAAGACCCCCAAAATAATGTTTGAAAACTTTCCCTCTGAAATTCTGATACTCGGCAAGAAGTCTGGAACCACTTCCCTGGGACATTAATGCGGCTATGCTCACTTAACTGTATGATCTATTTGCTGGCAGTGTAATTATGATATTACAGGTGACAAATGATGGAATTATTCTTCTTACCTTAGATACATTGCTGACATAACTCATTTGGACAGTACTTTCCTTATCGACTTGATTACAAAGGTTCTGTAAAGTAGATGCATATTCTTTATCACTTTTTATCCTCAAAGCCATAAATTTCTTCACTGTTTCCAGTAACCGTAGTTCCCAATCTTGCAATTTTAACACAGCTTCATGTGAATTCTTCAGGTCAGTCCCAAACCCCATTTTTATAAGGCACTGCTTGTCCTTAATATACAACTGAGCCTTCTAATCAGCACATATCTGTGTAATTAAACATAAGGAAAAACATCTTAGATCAAAAGGAAGTCAGTCTTCAATATAAAGATACAACATACTCTTTTTACCGTTCAAATAAATAAATAAATCTTTGAAAATAAACAGTTCTTCTATGATGCTGTGGCATAGCAAGGCAAGGTTCTGGCAAAGAATTCAACTTGGAATATATAAAGAATTCTTACAAATCATAATGAAAAAATAATCAAATTAAAATGACAAAAGGCATAAACATTTTTCCAAAGACAAATAGATAATAAGTTAAAAGATGTTCAATATCAGTAGCCAATAGGAAAATATAATCCCACCCTACAATGAGACCAGGATATCAATAATCAGAAAGAGACCAGCAACAACAAGAGTTGGAGAGACTGAGCAGAGGTTGGGATCCTTTTACTCTAGTACTAGAAATCACAAAGTCACAGGGGCCGACACTGTAGTATATGTGGCACATTAGCCAAAATTTGTCATGCTGCCCTCCCATAAGGGCACTGGTTCAGGACCCCGCTGCTCCACCTCCGATCCAGGTCCCTGCTAACGCACCTGGAGAGCAGCAGAACATGGCTCAGGTGCTTGAGCCGAGGTGGGCGTCCTGGATGGAGGTCCTGGTCCTGGCTTGAGCCTGGCCTAGCCCTGACTGTTGCGGACATCTGCAGAGTGACACATTGAAGACTGTCTCTGTAATTCTGACTTCCAAATAAATACATTTTACAAAAGAAACATAAAGTCATACAGTCACTGCAGAAAATAGTGCTGAATGTTTCTCAAAAGGTAAAACAGACAGAAAATGGTACTACTATAAATTCCACTACTAAGGATAGCTCAAGTAAAATCAAGACATTGCTACTCAAAAACTTAGGTTTCAAGCATCATTATGAACAACAATCACTCATTTCAAATATCAAATAAGAGAAAAAAAAATCCATCAATTGATAAATGAATAAATGAAAGTGTAAACATCCATAAAAAAGATTACTATTTACAACTGCAAGGAATGAGGTATGGTTTCAAAACAAAACAGTGAGGAACCTTGAAAAACTTCTGGTAAGTGACAGAAACGAGGCTTAAAAAAACATATTTTAGGAGTCATTTCTGCAAACTGTCCAAAATAGATAAATTTATAGCGAAAGAAAAAAAAAAACCAGTAAGAGTCACCAAGGGCTAGGAAACTCAGGGAGAAATGAGAGTGACTTTCATGCGCTCCGGACTTGATTTTTGTGGTGAAGAAACTATTCTAAAACTGACTATTCTGATGACCACACAACAATACTAACGACAACTGAACTATACATTTTCAGTGGATTATTTCTTTCGTATGTGAATTACAGCTCAAAAAAAAAAAAAAAAGGTTAACACCACTACTGCATAATGCAAGATCACCTGAAAGTCAGTGATTACCAATTCCTTTAAAGTATCCCAGTTGTTCACACATCCAGCACTCATTTTGTGCTCCAGTTTCAGGAAATTCAAGTCAGTGAGTCTTTCAGATACAGTTGAAAAAAAAAAACAAACCAACTTTAATTCCAGATCATCTAGATCAGAAGTGAGTTTCCTTTTAATCAATTGGTATTTTTTAAGTTACAGAGGAAGTTTTACTTCTAATTTCAATCATCTCCTCTAACAACATTTTTCAATGGAAGTTTTCTAACTAGAGAAGAAACTGCAATTTTTCCTCCTCTGAACTATTACTCTGATGAACTACTGAGTAATCAAACAGAAAAAAGTAATTTGTGAAAAAAGTACATCAAAGTTTTCTTTTTGAAGATGTATTTTATTTGAAACGTAGTTACAACGACAAAAGAAACACAGAAAAAGAGAGAGAGAGAGAGAATCAATCTTCCATCCTTTGGTTCACTCCACAAATGGCCACAAAAGGCTTTGCCAGGCTGAATTCAGGAGCCAGGAACTGCATTCAAGAGGCAAGCATTGTGGAACAATACGGTTTCCTATACTGAAGTGCTGACTTGAATTCCAACTGTTCTATTTCCAATCCAACTTTCTGCTAATACACTTTGGAAAGCAGTTAATACCTGCCCACGCAGTTGGCTCATCATCGCCCAGGCAGGGAACCAGAAAGAAGACTCTGGCTCTGAGCTTCAACCAATCTCATTTTCCCATTCCCTCTTTCTCTTTTGCTTTCCATTTCTAATCTTACTCTGTAATTCTACCTCTTTAAAAAAAAAAAAAAAAAACCCCAGGCTTTTAAAACCAATTAACTAAAAGATAATTGAAGAAAAATACAAAATTATTTAAAGCTAGAACTGTCCAGAAAAAATGTTTTAGAAATTACAACATATACGGCTAGGACTGGAATAAGGACCACTATTTACATTATCAAAAGCCATAAGGGAAGTGGATAGAAGCTACGAACAGTATGGAGCAAGCAACAGGGGGGGAAAAAAAAGGCAACCATGAGGCACAATTTTAACGTGTCCAAACTCCAACTGCACATGGCAAGCAGCAGAAGACGGCAGCCCAATTTCTCTCCTGCTATTCCGCCACTGATATACACGCACTTTTGTAAAATATTCTTTCTGTGTGGCTTACATTTATCAAATTATGGACATTGTTATTTTAAAATCTCATAGCCAGTTTGAAAGTTGATTTTCTCTTGTAATAACATGTAGTGAATTGCATACCCACCATGTTCAGGGTTGTAACCCAAGGAGCGGTGTATATAGGTAAGAAATCTGTGGCAATGAACTGCTAGTATCCAATGAACTCCTAGTTTAGTGTGTTACAATAATCACAGATACACGTATCATCCGTGAACCTGAAGGATGGGAGCACCTCAGGTGGCCTGGGCTCTGGGGATGGGTGTGTGGGGAGCACAGCTGTCCAGTTTAGTTCACAAAGCAGACTAGAGAGGAAAAACAGCATGTGCAAAGGCACAGAGGTGTGAATGAGCAGCAAACATTTCGGGAAGTGTTAAGTAGATGTGTGGCTGTAACAGAAGAGTGGGAGCTGTCTGTAACCAGCTTTGATTCCACTCAAAGGAGTTTGAATTTTAACCTATAAGTTGTAAGATCAATACCTAAAATTGTAACTACCAATCAAATTAACGTCTAGTATGCTAAAGATTGGAGCAATGGAGGGACTGCAGGTCACTCAAGCTGCATGTAAGATGCTGCGCAGCCTCGGTTATCTTGATTCATTCAGCAGATTTTTATTGTCTGCTGCAGCCAAGGCACCGCTGTAAGCACTGGACATGAGGCAGGAAATAGAAGAGAGTAAATTCCCTGCTGGAATTTACATTTTAAGTCAGTGTGTAATCCCCCACCTTTATAATTTTTGGCTATAGCATGAGTGCATATTTTTTAACAGTTTATTTTCTTCTTCCTGTGCACTGTATCTGAAAGAATGTGGGTAATATAGCTGCATTGTGAATGCTTCTTCATATTGTTATTCCTCTTTAAGTTAGAGTTTGAGGCCTGGCAATTCCTTTTTTTGTTTGTTTAATTAAATTTGATGACATCACTGTCGATTTAGCATGGACTTACTTATTAAGCAACCATGAAGGGATTATACAGTTCCAGGACTGCAAGAATCCCCCCTGGGATGCTACTTCAAAAGTTCATGGGAAAAAAAGGAGTTATCAGTAAGTGTAGTTAGGTACAGTCCACACCATAGCGTGCATATAATGTACATTTTCCACAAACCTTTCGAAGACTCCTTTTCTGATCACACTTCCCAACACCATCTTATACCCTGGAATTCTCCCATCCGAGTACTAACCAGGCCCGACCCTGCTTCTGAGATCAGACGAGATTGGGCACGTTCAGGGTGGTATACCCTGGAATTCTAAACCTGAACCAGTAATCTGTCCTTTCTCTAGAAAGTCATCATTCCAGGAATGTTACATAATTTAATCATAAGGCATATAAGCTGGAATTAGCCTGTGGCTAAGTTAGCTTTTCTTTTAAAATATGTTCTTTAAAAAAAAAAAAATATATATATATATATATATATATATATTGGAGTTACAGAGGTGGAGAGGGAGACACAACAGCCAGAGATAGGAGTCAGGAGTCCTTCAGGATCTCCCATGTGCATACAAGGGCCCAAAGCCGAGAGCTATCTTCCCTGCTTTCCCAGACTACCAGCAGGGAGCTGGATAGGACACGGAGTAGCTGGGACTTGAACCAGGACCTGTACGGGATGCTGGTGCCACAGTGGACAACTAGCCTGCTACTCTACCGCACTGGAAAGTAGGTTCTTAAACACTGAAACTAATTTTTAAAACTTACTAAAACATTATTTACATTTCTGTAAATCTTACTTAGTTACATTTAATTTGTTATTTATGGCCAAGTAGGTGCTTATATTCATATTCTAAGTTTTCAGTTTGCAATGACTACAACTGTAAATGCCATTAAATGTTACTACTCTCTAAAATCCAAATTTTAATTACATAAAGCATAATTGGAAGCTATTAAATCGACTAATGTAAAACGGATAACAACTCTCCTAGGCAGGATGACAGAATTCACACCACACTTCAACGAATATCAGAGTAATATGTAAGTATAAGTAAATATTCTAGAACATCTCCTGTTTTTCAACTTTCGGCTCCACAGCTGGCTACTTTCACATTCTTCAAGCACAGACACAGAAATCACAGAAATACTGTCTGTGCAGTAGAAGGTTTAATCTGTATTTGAATATTCTCCCTTTTAACCAAAGAATTTACTTTAACACAGATATGTTTTCTGGTTAAAAAAAAAAATATATATATATATATATATATATGTTTGCTTTTTTCTTCCTTGATTTTAAAAATGATAAAGGGATTCAAGTATGTCATTGAAGACCCACTAATTTAGAAAATTCAGCCAAGGAGTAAATGAAAACAATACAATATAAATAGGAAATCCTTCATTATTCCCCCAAGGGATACTCTCACATCCTAGAAGAAAATTCAGTAAAGCATGAATTAATATTTCTTCACTAATAAAACCTCACATAATCAATTTATGGCTCAAGTTAAC